AGTGCTAAGTGTGTGTGAGTGGCCTCTGTGCTGCCCACCACCAGGTGCATTCCTGCATCCTAAGGGTGAGGCTGAGTTCCTGCCTTCCTGGGTGCTGGCACCTGCTCCTGCTGGCCTTAGGATGCTACCCATTACCAGCTTCTGTTTTTTTTTTTTTTTCTTCTGAGATGGAGCCTCGCTCTGTTGCCCAGGCTGAAGTGCAGTGCTGCAGTCTTGGCTCACTGCAATCTCCACCTCCCGGGTTCAAGCCGGTCTCCAGCTTCAGCCTCCAGAGTAGCTGGGACTACAGGTGCCACCACCACGACCAGCTAATTTTTTGTATTTTTAGTAGAGACAGGGTTTCACCGTGTTAGCCAGGATGGTCTCGAGCTCCTGACCTCAGATGATCCACCCTCCTCGGCCTCCCAAAGTGCTGGGATTACAGGGAATCCGCTTCTATTCTATGTTTGCCGAGGGTTTCCCCTCCCGAGTTACCGGGGCCACAGATGAGCACCAACCCCCCACCCCCCAGCTATATTTTTTTATTATGTTTTTTAGACAGGGTCTCACTATGCGGCTTAGACTGGTCTCGAACTGCCGGCCTCCAGTGGTCCTCCCCCTGGGAGGAGAGCTGGTCTGGTCTCTACGCACCGCTGGATTCGGTATTCGTGCTTCCCATTGTGTTGGGCGCTGTGGTAGCTGGGTTTGCCCAGGGCAGCGTGGTCCCTCCCGGTGTGTCCGGGCCTGGATCCCGGAGCCTCCGGCGGGGGGCGGCCGCCCGCTTAGGGCCTGGCTGCGGATCCGCAGCGTCTTTCGGGCTGGGGCTGCGGTGAGGCGTCGTGGGGGGGGCGGTCTCAGCCAATGGGCGCTGGGTTGGGGGGCGGGTGCAGGGCGGGGCGGGAGCCCGGACAGGGGCTTGGGAGCCGGGAGCCGGGAGTTGGGAGCTGGGAGTCCGCGGGGGAGGGGGCGCCCACAGGGGAGGGGGTCGCCTGTCCCCGGACCGCGAAGACCCCGTGGCAGAGTCGCCTGGTGCGGGGTGAGCGGGGGCGCGGGGACTGGAGCGGAGAGGGTCGGTCGTGCGCTCTCAGAGGGACAGATGCGTCTGGCGAGAGGGGCTCCCACGGCGGGTTCGGGGACTGGGTCAGGCCGTCCCCAGGGGCGAAAGGGAGGGCGCGGCTCCGGGCAGCGGGGGTCGGGCCGGGGGGTGGGGACCACGCTCGGATATGGTTCCGGGAACGCGCGAACGCCCTTCCCCTAGCAGCACGCCGGGCCCTGCCAGGTCCCCCGCGCGATCTCCCTGGCGTGGACTGCGGGGCACAGAGACCCTGCGATGGCGCCGCCCCCTGCCCCTCGGCCACGGTACCAAGGCCGCGGCCCGCCCCGACCTCCCCACCGAACCCTGGACGAAGCTGCCTGCTTCAGACCCAGGCCCCTCCCGGCTACCCGGCAGGGGTCTCGCAGTGGGAGGGTTTGACTCCGACCCTGGCCAGTGCCCTCAGGGAGCCAGGAAAGGTGAGTCTCCGTGGGTGAGAAGACCCCAGGCCCAACCCGGGCAGGACGGACCAGAGCCCAGGCCTCAAGTGGGGGCTTCCAGCTCCAGGCTGCTCTCAGAGTCTGTCGTCCAGGTCGGAAGAAGAGGAAAGGTCAAGGCTGAGGTCCCATCTGAGACCGGAGGAGGAAGGGCTGAGCTCTTGTTTGCTTTTCAGAAAGGCCCCAGCGACCTGATAACCCATAAATGTGGCATTGACGGGAGGTGGCGGGATGGGGGTCTCCTTCCTGGAAGGGCATCTCCCAGAGGGGCTTTTTGGCTGAAGCTGAGCTGTGCCGGGCACACAGCCGGCAGAGACAAAGGGAGGGCCGGCAGGTGCAGCTCCCAGTGGAATAAAACCTTCTTCCTCAACAAGACCTGGCACGTGACAACTTTGAGTTGAAAAATAAGCTTGTAGGGGAGGGAGGTGATGCCTGTCTCCTGCCTGGCCTCGAGCACTGAAAGTTACTTAAAAAGTTAACTTTTTTCTCTTGACTATTGTTAACAGCATTAAGGGATGCACCTCTTCACCCACAAGACACTTTCACAAGCCGTACAATGAAATTCTTGACAGGAAATTAACGTTTTCAGTTTTCCTTTCTTAATCTTGAAGCTCTGATGCCGCGGTAGCTAGGTGTAAGATGACACTTCTTTTCAAACTGGCTTCTGCGTTATTTCCACAGTTTGGAATATGTTTTATGGCCATGGCCCTTCCGAATATATGCGGGGGAGGGGGGGGTCCCAGGACCACACGGGGTCCACGCCATGGTGGAAGCATCCAGAATGCGGTGCGTGCTTCCCTGAGGCAGGAGGGGTCAGGCAGTTATCAGTTCCTCACCATCCGCAGGACACTTCCTGAGACCCCCTGTCACACATACACAAGCTTCTGGGTCTGTTAGGCCATGAGGATGTGCAGGTTGTGCACTGCACAATTCCAAAGGGCACAGTTCATACAGTCTGCCTGATAATGATGGTGGCCCTGTGATGGTGGGGTGCCACAACCCTGCCTAAAACCACCACCTAGTTGGAGGGGTGCATGGCACCAGTCTGCAGGTAGTGGAGTGCAAGTGCACACCCCTCATAATCGCCTAGACTGACTTCTGCTATGAGGCTGGCGTCCTCACGGCCATGCCCATTGCAGCCTGGGGCAGTGCCCATCTGCCCAGAGCCCTCTAGCACCCTTGGAGTGTATACACATTTCATCCTCCACATGCGCACAGCAGCCACACTTCTCAGCTGTGCAGGGACGCTCCGGCAGCGGGGTGCTCAGGGGCTCATTGCCTTTCTACTCCCCACCTGGCAGCCCTTCGGGCTGTGGCAGCAGCAGGGGTGGGGCAGCACACCACCTGATGGTCAGCGCCTGGCACTCATGCCTCTTCTGGATTCGCACATCCAGGCAGTGTCACTGCTCTCTCCCTTTAAACAGCTTTGTGGAGAAAGGTTGTGGGCCCTTAGGACAGCCTGGTTGGGGGGGGGTGGCAGGAGGGTCAGCGGGCATGATGGCACACACCAGTCCAGTGGGAATTGGTCTTCCTCTGCAATGCAAGGGCAGCATCTTCAGAGAGGACGTCCTTCCTAAAGGCTACACTCAGGACCTGTAAGAAAAGAGCAGGGAAGCTCCAGGCTGGAGGGGATCCTGCTCTTGTCCTGGAGGCTTTTTCTCTGGGACAAGAGGCTGGGAGTAGAGTGGGGGACAGAGGCAGATGGGGCAGGGACACAGGCCAAGAGCGACTCCACTGCCCCCGCCTAGCAAGGCCATTCTAGTGGCCAGTCTCTTCCACTCCCCAGTGGTCCAGACACTGCGGCGGCCCAGCCCAGGGCCGCCCTCCCTTCCCGCCACTCAGCGGCCAAGTCACCGAGCAAGCACCTTCCCTGTCCTACATAGGCCACTTCCATCAACATGAAACTGCACCCTCCCACCTCCATCCCACAGGATAAAGTCATCCAACTCAGCGTTGTCCTCCTCTGGCCCCCCAACGGATTCTCAGATGTCAGAAGATATGTCCATCTGCACCCACCGACCTCCCACCTACCCTCTGTCCATCCATCCATCCATCCATCCATCCACTCAGCCAGCCACTATCTTTCCAGTGCTATTCTGTGCCCAGCTCTCTTCCAAGCTCAAGGGATGCATGCATGAACCCCTCGCCCTGACCTCCCCACCCAACCCTGGGGTAGGGCAGACATTTCCAGGGTGAGGGCAGACAGCTCATGGTCAAAGCTAGCAAGCACCAGGGCGGGGAGTGAGCTGAGCCCAGGAGCCAGCCAAGTAAGCAGGGGTGGTGGGAGCTGGGCTGCCACAGCTGTGAGCTGAGTGGGTAGGGGTGGAGCAAGAAGATGCCATTGGAGCCCAGCCCCTGGGGAGCCGAGGACGGGGGCACACAGAGCCATCCAAGCGGTGGGATCAGTGCATGCAAAGGAATATGGGCTTTGGCGGGCACGGGGATGTGGGTCAGGCAGTGGCTGGGGTCGGAGCTCCTGGGAGAAGTTGAGCCTTTCCTCCGACGGGGAGGGTTCCAATAGCCGGGGCTGAAGGGGCAGGTGAAGGGCCAGGCAGCAGGCTTTGCAGGTGGCTGCTGGCTCCAAGAAGCCAAGCTGCTGGTTTTGTGTCCATCCTGAAGGTAGAGCAGACAGATATGCTAAGAGCTTGGAAACCCGGTGAGGGAAAGCAGAAGTCCGCGTGCCTCCCAGGTCTGTCGCTGGAAGGCTGCAGGGTGGGCTTGGAGGAAAAGAGAGGTGCGGTTTGTGTCGTGGAGCCTGAGATGCCCAAGGGCGCCAGTGCTGCCAGAGGGGGCTGTGGGCAGAGGCCCTGCATCCCTGTGAGGCCTGGGGGTGTCGGGGTGTTTCGGTTGGAGGTCAGAAGGCAGGAGCGGGGCGGCGAGGACACCAGGGCCTTTGAGTTCCCATCTCAGAGGCTGGGGTGGGGGATGCTCCGGCGAGGGGAGGGCCAGAGAGACTTCCCAGCGCACCACGCAAGGCCTGGGCGGCCCTGGTTTCTGGTAAGTGGCCGATCAGGCTGTGGAATGCAGGCTCCTGCTGAAGACGCCGGAGTCCTGCGGCCCGGGGCCCCTGCGCACCCTTGGGCCACCCTGTGGGGTCTGCGCAACCACAAGCGCAGGTTGTGAACGAGGGTTGGGGCGAGCGCACTCGCAGCTGTCCCGGCACCTCAAGAGCTGCGCGGACGCCGAAAGGCGCGGGGAACGGCCCATCCCACCGCCCCCCGCCGTCCTCCACTAGCCGCCCGCCCCCAGGGAGGCGGCAGCGCAGTCCCGGGCTAGCCCTAGCCGCGACCTCGCCGACCTCCAGGCTCCGGGGGAAGGTGGGGACCGGGGAGCGCCAGGCGAAGGAGGCGCGGCCGGCCGGGTGGGCGTGCGCGGGCGGGGCGGGCGTGCCGGGAGCCGCGGCGATGTCTGCGCTCGCGAGTGCGCGGCGGGGGCGGGCAGGCCCCGCCCCGGCGCGGGAGGGGGCCGCGAGATTAAAGGCCACCCCGGTGGGCGGGGATCCGCCTGTCGCCGGCACCGGCCCCGCAGCGCGCCGGGGTCCTCGCCGATTCGCGCGTCCCGCGGCCCCAGCCCCGCGCGTCGGCCGAGCCCAGCGGGACCCCTCGCGACCTTCGCGTCCTGGTCCCGCGCTGAGCCGGCGGCGATGTGGGGACTCCGGGCGCGGGGCCCCGGCGGGGGGCTGCTGCTGGCGCTGGTGCTGGGCGGGCTGTTGTGGACTGGGGGCGTCGAGGTGGAGCCCGGGGGCGCGCACGGCGAGAGCCAAGGCTTCCAGGTGGTCACCTTCGAGTGGGCGCACGTCCAGGACCCCTACGTCATCGCGCTCTGGGTCCTCGTGGCCAGCCTGGCTAAGATCGGTAAGTCGTTCGCAGGGTCTCCGGCCTGTCACCGCCTGCCCCCGCGGGGTCTTGGGACCACCGACCTGGGTGCGGCCGTCACCCCTGCCGCTGCCCCGCCTCTGCCGGGTCTAGGGTCTTCGCTGTGGCCGCCCCGGAAAGTCCGGCTCTTGGGTCCAGCAGAGCGGGACTCGGGCGCGACTCTGGCCGCGCTAAGCCGCCCTGAGGGTCGCCGAGGGTCGCCCCACCCCAGCGGGGGCACAGCCTCGGAGTTCCGACTCCCGGTCTCTGTGGGATCTCCCCCGGCCTCAGCTCCTGCAGGCTGCTTGCGCCAGAGAGTCCCCAGGGCCAGGTTTCCTTCGGGGTTCTCGGGCTTTTTAAAGACGCGTTCTCGCCAGCAGGCACTGGAGTGATGATGATTTTTCGTTCATTACAAAAAAGAAAATCAGCGCCACCCGAATGAAACCCAGTAGAATCCTCCTTAGAGGTGCAGCGTTCCCATTGGCGGTCTTCCTTTTTTAGAAAATCCCGGTCGGTCAGATTTCTCTTCTCCTTAACTGGCTCCAGTGAACCAGTACTGTGGGCTGGGCAGGTGGCTCCTGGCAAGGTGACAGGAAGGTCAGCTTCCCGAGGACTCGTGGGGATCAAAGTTTCATGTGTTGGTCCACAGGGCAGGGTCTCTCCAGGGGTGGCAGGGAGGTGGTCACTCGTGGGGAGGGGCGATTAGGGGACCCAAGTTGGGCCAAGAGAAACAGCAGGTGCCAAGCAGGTTTCCAGAGTGGTTTTGGACTGGGGCAGGAAGTTTGGATGCTGGGGCCTAGGAGGGGCACCCTGGGAGGACAAGGAAGGGACAGGCTTTCGGGAGAGCTGCTGAGAGGACCTTGGACTTGGTGGAACATGGTACACCGGGCAGGCTTGATTGCTGAAGGTGCCTTTTTCTTCAGTGCCGCCTGCCACCTGCCCTATTTAGGCCAGGGTCTCCCCTCCCCTTCAGATCCCTTGCGTGTTTACTTTCTGTCTAACGAATGCTCTTCTGAGCCCTCCTGCCTCCTCGCTTCTCCAAGACCTCCTTGCTCTGGTGTCCTTCAGCTCCCGGCCCCAGGCTGCCTGCTTGCCCGGCTCACTCTGTCCCTGCTGCCTCGGGCTGCCTGCTCGCCCGGCTCACTCTGTCCCTGCTGCCTCCGGCTGCCTGCTCGCCCGGCTCACTCTGTCCCTGCTGCCTCGGGCTGCCTGCTCGCCCGGCTCACTGTCTCCTCTGGGCTCCACTGGAGGCTTGGGATGCTGGCAGTAGGGGAGGCCCTGACGCTGGCTGCTTCCTACGGGTCATTTCCTTGAGAAGGGCCTCTGGGGCATCAGGGAGGTCCAACCTCAATCTGGGTCTCTGAGGATGCCCAGTCCTAAAGCTCACCCTGCTTTCCTCTGACGGGAGCGCCCCCATGGTGTAAAGTGAATATGAAATTTATTTTCTTTCGTTTTTTCTTTCTTTCTTTTTTTTTTTTTTTAAAGACAGAGTTTTGCTCTTGTTCTCTTGTCACCCAGGCTGGAGTGCAATGGCTCGATCTCGGCTCACCGCAACCTCCACCTCCCTCACTCAAGCGATCCTTCTGTCTCAGCCTCCCGAGTAGCTGGAATTACAGGCATGCACCACCACACCCAGCTAATTTTGTGTTTATAGTAGAGACGGGGTTTCTCCATTTTGGTCCGGGTGGTCTTGAACTCCTGACCCTCAGGTGACCCGCCCGCCTCTGCTTCCCAAATTGCTGGGATTACAGGTGTGAGCCCCCACTCCCGGCCGTGAATATGTAATTTCTGTGCAAGCTGGGGCCTCTCCCAGTTCTGCCCAGTGTTTGGAGTCAGAGCTGCCAGGCACCAGCCAGCCCCGCTTGGAGGCCACCGGGAGGGCACACTGACCGCGGCTTTGCCTGGCCTCAGAGTTTGCTGTTCCTTCCCAAGCACTTGGACTGATTCTGGGAAGATGTCCTTGAGGGCAGGGAGGCTGCCGCCAGCAGCAACTCCCGGGGGCAGGGCAGGCCCAGAATGCACCTTCTGCCAGGAGCTGGCCCTTTATAGGAAGGCCCACTCTGATAGCACAGGAGGCGATCTCGGTCCCTGATTGTGGGCCCCCCTGGGAAGGCGAGAGCCTAGCCTTGTGCAGCTGTGGGAGTTCATCACCACATCCCACCGGTGCAGACTCGCTCCACACCTGACCTCCACGCTCACTGTCATCCCCGCGACCCACTGTCTACTCTGCAGCCCCGGCAGTGACAGCTGAGGTCTGCCCTGGGTCTGCCCTGATTGGCCCCCAGGGTATCCCACCCCCCATTCCCTCTCTGCCATCCACGGGTCTTGAACGCAGCCCCCAGCCCTCCCCTTGTGCTTCCTCCCCCAGCCCCTCCCCTGTGAACTCTGGACTTCTCAGATCCCGCTGGCCCAGGCCATCCTTGTGCAGCCAGCCTCAGGTGCATGACCTGTCCCCCAGAGGACCCTCACGTCCAGGCCTTCACAGGCACTAGGGCCTGCACCCGCACCACAGTGGAAAGCACTTGTTTCAGCCCCAGCCTCCTGCACAGGCCGCAGCCCCCACCAGGGTCCTACTCACTAACTACTTGGCACATGTTGTTTAAATGCTCAGGGGTTGGCCTCATTCTTACAGTCTCAAGTTACACAGACAGAAATGTATCTTCCAACAGAAAAGGGCTGCAGGCCTGTTGGTTTTCCAAACATTGTTGAATTTCTCACATGTCCTGAGTGTTTCTAACTCACAGCCCCAGCCTTCTTCGAGCCATTTATAACCTGATTGGGGAAATAAGACACCGGGGACCCTGAAACCCACAGCAGTGTTGATCCCAGGAGGTTTCTACTCCAGGCACCTTGGGACAGAGCACAGCCAGAGCTGCCCCAAGCGTATGCTGTGGCTGGGGCCCCAGCAGGTGTCCCAGGAGCCCGGGCAAGGAGCAGGCTCTGCTGTCGGCCCACCAGCCTCGGGCCACATGTCTGGGCTCCAGCGAGGATCCCCCACAAATCCCCTATTTGTGTGCACTGAGGCCTCTGGGGGTTTCTCTGTTAGAGCATCTTTTTAAAATGCAGAAGGAGAGGCAGGAACTGAGGCCAGGGAGCCAGTCCACAGCACAGACCTCCTGGGCTGAGAGGGTGAGGTAGTCTCCAGCAGTGGAGGTGGCAGGGCCTGGTGTCTGACGCAGGGAGGGTGAGGGTGTTTCCTCCTGTCACCTCTTGGGGGCCCCCAGCCTGCAGCCACCCACACCAGGGCCACTCTGGACCTTGGGTGCCCACCGGAACCCTGGCCTTGCCCTGCACCATCAGCTTTGGGGACTCCTTCCTGGGCTTCCTCTGGGGGCTGAGGCTGCGCCTTGCAGAGACTGTAAGGCCTGGCAGCATTGGGTGGGGGCCCCTGGGTGGAATCCGGGCAGCAGCAGGTGTCAGGACAGCTAGGAATGGGCCCCTGGGAGGAGAGGGAGATGAGGAAGTCAGAGGCCAGAGTGGGAGGCCCAGGGAAGGTCCCTGGGGAGGCAGGGGGAGGCCCGAGCAACTCAGCTTCAGGTCTTGGAGGACTCTGGTCCTCACCTAGGGTCATGGTGAGGGGTGGATGTGGTTGGTTCTGGGTTCTCAGACTACTGCCTGGCCATGGGGCATAGAAAGGCACTGTCATGGGGGAATTCCAGGAGGACAGTGGGGAACTTCCCTTGGACATCAGGGCAATGGACAGCAGGGCCTCCATGGGGCAGGGGTGGGGACATCACAGGGTCATCAGTGGCACAGCAAGGGCTAGACCTCCTGGTCCCATCTGGTTCTCAACCCTTGGGGCGTCTCTGCTGTGCTGACCGTGCCTCGAAGCCCTGAGCGATGCACCCGAGCCATAGGACCTGACCAGAAGAAAATTGGGGGAGTTACTATTTTGAGACTTTGGAGACTGGGGTGGGGCTGAGGCTGGGAGTGGGTTCTAGGCCCAGCTGGGTCTATTTGTCCCCAAGCATTCAGCCGTGGAGACCCCTTGGGCCATGGACGCACAAGAGGTGTGGGAGCTGACATCTTGTGGGGCCCAGACTCTGGAGGGAGATGGCGTGGTGAGGGGGTGGGACCTGAGCAGTGGCGGCCCACGGGGGAACCAGGACAGTGGGGCTGGGTGTGGGCGGGCAGGCAGGTGGGACAGGCTCTGGAAGTGGAGCTGAGGGGTTTGGGGAGGGGGGAGGCCGAGGCTGCCCCACATTTTGCTTGCTCTGGCTGGAAGGGCAGGCAGGAGCAAGACGGGTGTCTGAAGTTGGCAATGCCTTGCGCAGCCACAGGAGGTCACGTAGGTATGGGGGCGCAGAGTCAGGAGCGCAGCCCCACCTCTCTGACCTGGCGCTGTCTCACTTCGGGAGGGTGGGAATGTGCTTTTCCATCGGCCCTTCAGCCTTGGGATCACAGCACCTCCTCTGTAACTGGATGGTGCTCAAGACCCATATCCCTGAGTGCCAGGTTCCCTGCTCCCGGCCCCAAACCTGAGGCACAGAGGTGCTTCCTTGCTGTCTGGGGTGGGGTGCAGGAGGTCACCCCGCTGTCTTACCCAGGGTGTCCCAGTGAGCCTCTGCCATTGGGGGTGTGGTGCCGCCTAGACCACCTACCTGCCCAAGCTGTGGATTTCTCCAAGGTGCAGCTGTCCACCAGGCACTGGGTGTCTTCCCAGGCTGCGAGGGTGGCTGTCGGCTCATATTCACCTCCTGGGGTGGACAGTTTATTGCATGGGCTCTGGCCCTGGAGGCAGGAATCCCTCACTGCACACAGCGCCTACTCGCCTCTGAGTCAGCTACCCACTCCAGCTGAACTGCCCTTAGATTCTCCTTGAAGGAGCATAGGAGAGGAGGGTCTGCGGACAAGGATGGCCTAAAAGGCCAGGTTGGACAGCAAAGTCCCTAGGGGACCCAGTCCTCCCAGGAGAGGACCAGTCAGTGGGCCCCGTGGGCCCCAGTCCTGGCAGGAGGGACGCACTCAGTGGGTCAGGAGTGCTCCTGGAGTCAGGAGCC